TGAACCAGATGGAACAGTTTGATCTATTATGGTTATACTACCTCCATTTGTGGAGGAAGTAGTTGGTTGTGCGACGGTTTGTCGTGGTTGGTTTTCACAAGGAACATTTGAAGATTTAGGAAATTTGGATTTGTATATTCGACCATGCAAAAAACTTGCTAGATTATCACATGTTGTAAACTGATTAGCGTCTATTGATGCTAATAAATTTGCCTCTCCTATGTTCCCTAAAATAATAGATATAATATCTTGTTGTGTAAAGTTTAGTGACAAACGATCGATTTTACATTTTTGATCAAAGTAAAAATCGTATAAAGATTGATTTTCTATGGGTTTTTTATCGAGTATTTCTTTTAGAAGATCCAAAATATTTCTCCTACTTTGAAAACAAGCCGATAGCTTTATTCGCCAATCTTTCCATTTCCAAGATGGCCACTGATATTCAGTATGTAATAAGGAGTCGTACCATGTTTTAGCGGAACCTTTCAATTTGTTCAAAGCTTGATAGCGAATCACTTCATCCGACCAGGCAAACGTTTGAGAGTAAGATTCGATAATATTAAGCCATGCATTTACGTCGTCTATTAACGGGTCAAATTCTGGTATGATATTGCACAATATTAAGCTGTTGTTTGTACTTACAGTCGCGGTGTCAGTTTTGTGTGCTACCTTTTTCCTTTGTCTCGGTGAGGGCGACGGTGTTCGAGCGCTACTCGAGCTACTCGACGTCGAACTCGAGCGTCTTTCGCGACGTTTAGAGCGCTTCCTGCGAGAGCCCATTGGCGCCTAATATCCCACTTCTGATGTTAACTAAAACCTCACTTTCAATCATCAAACTATTTATTCACTAATTTGCATACATCACACATAGCTATCAATAATCACAACACTTTATTTTATAATTTACACTAGTTGTCACAGCGCGAGCGGAACTAAGACTGCCATGCTTAGGTCGGTTGCTTGCTTATATAGTCGCCATCTTGCACGTGAACGTCATTGTGCGCCGCAAGATGGCGTCACCGGCGTCAACTTCCGGTCGATTAATGTTGATTTCATTAAGTTGCCAACATAATAGAATATGTAAAGGAAAATAAATATTACAAAAGAGTTTTTATATACAAATAAATATATGGTGGTGTCATCAACAGAGAGTTTTGAAGAGATAACTTGCCAGTTTGTGTTAAATAATAATAAAACCCAAATAATCTTGACCCAAACAGAAACTACAGAGTTTGAAATAAAAAAAAGGTTTTTGGTGTTGTAAATTTGCAAACAAAAGTGCATTTAAAAAAAATGCCAAATCACTTAGTCTGTATGTTATTTTATAAACATCCTCATGTCTCTAGCTATCCAACGAGGTAAAAAACAATGACACTTAGTTAACACTCTTAAAGATTCACTAGGTCCCTGGCACCCTGAGACTGGTGCCAGTATCGACACGGTGCAAAGATCGTCGTTTGATTGTTGGAAAACGCTCGGTCTGCGATACGGTTGTTCGAAAGAGCCGTTCATAGGATGGGTGACCAAAAATTTATTATCTCAAACTCCTCCCTGCTTCAGAAGGCACTTTAAGCCGTTGGTCCTGGCTGCATTAGTCGTCAACACCGTTCACCCTATAAGAATCGGATTCGATTCCATCCATAGGGAAGGCCTGAGCCCTAGCAGTGGGGACATTCATAGCCTGGTAATGATAATGAATGTTCAACCACATCAGTTATTTAGGTAATGTTTCCAGTTGATTTCTACTATATTTTTTTATTATTTGCAACATGCCACTATCATTACAGGCTTTCTTAATCCGATAGCGTAGACATAAATAATAATTATAACAAATAGTGGTGTCATAAGAAATTCGTTTCATGAACTAATAAATAGATCTATGAACTTTGGAACTACATTTAGACAATGTAACGTTTGTTAATTTGCATTTGCAATATATCGACGGATTTAGCTTAGATATAAATATGTTTGTAGATGTACTTCTTCTTGTTCCGAAAGCTATTGCGACTTTCAACGTTACACAATTCTCAAAAATACCTTTTGGTATTACGCAAAAGAACAACATTCCTCTAATTAATGTTTTTCAAGATTAAATAACGAACGATGTAGCATTTAAACTATTTCAATGAGATAAATTAGTGGAGAGTATTCTATTGATTCCGTTTTGTGTATAAAATATCAAAACAAGATCAAATATCTCTTTATTCAAGTAGGCTAATACAAGCACTTTTCAATCGTCCAAAATTTTTTTCCCATACCACTTGTTCAGGACGTCTTTTAGCTGACAAAAGAACAAGCGAAAGAAACTTACCAGCTCTTTATCATAAGTAATGACATTTACATAAATCATGTCATTACCAAAATAATATGTATTATTACAATAATAATTACAACTTTCAAAGTCTGTAGGACATAGGTTAAACATATAATAAGACTTTATAGTACAAAGCGAAGGCTATTAATTCCATGCATTGCGATCTTTAAAATAATCATCAACTTTATAATAGCCTTTACTCATAAGTATGTTCTTTACATGAATTTTAATGAATTTATTTATGGGTAGGCCAACTACATTTTGTGGAACTTTATTGAACATAGTAATGCATTTACCCAGAAATGATCCTCTGGTTTTCTGAAGTCTGAAGCTTGGAACGGCAAGTTTATTTTTATTTCTTGTGTTAAGCTTATGAACACTATTTTTTTTTGTGAAGGAATCGTAATGTTTTCTTGCGTACATAATATTTTCATAGATGTATTGAGAGGCAACAGTCAAAATATTTATTTTTTTAAATATTCCTCTGAGAGATTCTCTAGACTGTAAATTATATATAGCGCGGACAGCTCTCTTTTGTAGAATAAAAATATCTTGAATGCTAGCCGCAGAACCCCACAACAATACACCATACGTCATTACACTATGAAAATAACTAAAATATACCATTCTTGCCGTTTCAACATTTGTCAAGAATCTAATTTTCTTAACAGCAAATGCTGCAGAACTCAGTCTACTTGACAAATTATCAATATAAGGATCCCATTGCAGTCGGGAATCTAGTGTAATACCAAGGAGCTTTCTCTATTCCACCAACTCAACTTTTTCACTATTTACATATTTACATTAGGTAATGCAAACTTTATACATTTCGTTTTATTTGAATTAAGCTTTTCTATCAAACCACTGTAGAACATTGTCGAGAACATCATTTACATCGTCAAAACAATCATTACCCCTCTTAACTTTAAACACTAAAGAGGTGTCATCAGCAAATAATACTGTCTCGCACAAATTCTTTGATTAAAGAAGCCTCAGATTTTCCTGCCCTATGTCATTTCAAAACTCACTTCATCTCTGCCACAAAACGTAAAGAAATCCATTTCAAGGTTAAGCAGGTTGTTTTTCGAAGTGAGTTCTGTCACCTGAGTGAACAAACATTCGTAGCACCTAACAATAATTTCATAGCAAACACACTGCTAGAATTTAGCAGACGTTACATTTTTCACTTACAACATAAACTATTAGATTTATCTTTTATGAAATGCGAAAGCAAATAGCCGTTCTCTCCCTCGAATATGTTTAAGGTAAGAGGCGCCTCGCGTCACCTGTGTCGCTTATGTGTCCACAGTTGAATTTACACCTAAATATGAATGAGTAATTAGGCGTTAATTCAACTGTGCAAAGACTTAGGACTCTTCTGAACAATAATTAATATGTCAAATCACTCCAGTTACAAAATCAGAAATCCGACAGAATTGTATAACTGACGTGTGTTTGACAGTACATTGTTACATATTTGCTGGGATCAAAACAGTGTTCAATGAGAAATTAAAGCAGTGAGTACCCTAAGTAAATACCAGTACAATATAGAAGCCCCAGCTATGACAGATGGAGGGACAGACAAATAAGTTATATAATTTCCTCTCTGTATCTATTCCTAAAGATGTGTAACACCGGTGTATTTGATTACTTAGTACACTCCATGATTCATTGAATCCACTGAAATCGATAAATATTGGTATAATCTTATCTTATTGTTTTCATTTAGGTATAAAATGGGATCATACGTTCTAGAACGTGTAGAACGACTGAAGTGTCAACTGTCTGAAAAACTCAAACCTTTTTGTTTGGTTAAGAATAGTTAAATACTAAAAGGTGAGTTATATATTACTACAAAGATAGTATACGTGAAATGCCTTGTCCTTCAATTTATTTAATATATATTCATGTGTGGTGTGCTATTTCCCGATGTTCAATCGCTGACGGTAAACCAATTTCAACTATATAATTCATTGTCATAAATTTCAGTTTAATACATGTTAATTACTTCAAACATCAATAATTTTTAACTGTACACAAGTACAAATAACGTCCAATAAACTGATTTAAAAATCAAAAACTACGTCTAAAGGTACTATCATAGACAAAACATGAATATTCTAAAGTTCTTTCGAAAATATATTAATAAAGTGAAAAATGGTGGTAGATAAGAAACGTATATTTAAATGTATTTTTAATTAATTGATTTAAAGGATCTGTTTTTACCGACATACATTAGCTTTCAACAGATGGCGCTACTGTATTAGTCTATAATTAGACGTTCTGTTTTACCAATCTCTCTCTCTCTCTCTCAATTCAAGATGGTTAGTGCTTTTTGTTCTCCTAATTAACAATTTAAGATCTTGGATAACTTTCACTAAATACTTACCGCAATTTAAGGACTGATACTCATCAAATGGATTTCACTTCTTTCCATTTCTTGATGTAATTAACATTTTTTTTTATACAGAAAAACGATAAATATTTGAGACACTTTGTAGCCGCTGGAATTAATTTATTAACTTTAATAACAATTAGGTAAAAGTTTATAAAAAAACGTTTTCGCCGCGCAATTGGTGATCCTCTAGACAGGGAAAACTTTCCCTTAACGTCTCCTAAATTGGGATCTTTACCAAAGTCGATGTTGTCCATCGGTTTTGGTTATATGTGCTTATTTTGTTTACAGATGAGATTCTCAATCCTCCTTGTTCTATCTGCTCTGGCAATTATCCAGGCTTCTGTGATAAAAGCGCCGACAAGTAGAGCCAATCTCAACGTAGGGTATGCTGCTGCCGGTGACAGACTCCTATACAGGTCAGTATTATATTTATAAATGCACTAGTCGTTTTTTAAATTTTATTATAATTTATGTCACTCGCGTATAATGTAGCTATCCGTAGGTAAAAGAATTGTAAAATACTGTCTAATAGTTGCGGAGCCTATTCAAAGCACATCAACAAACAAAATTTTGCTCTTTTTAATATTAGTATCGATATATAATGCCAAAAACCTTTCTCAGTGGTGATTGATCAATTAGGCAAACTATAATACCGGAACGAAATCACAAAGGCGAGAAAGCGCTAGGCACTATTTAATACATAAACAAATTTAATAATAAGGCTGCTAATTCTTTTGGATGTAGATATATAGAAGCTAAAAAAGAAAGCTACCTACACTTTCTTATTATACGACTGCCATAAAAAACAGACTGTTTAAGGTAAATGTATGTATGAATGTAGAATAGAATAAGTTTTAATATAACACCACATATCGCATCATTTAAGCACACAGTTTACAAAATATTTACTAATATAACAAAGAGAAGAAAAAAGTAACAACAATTAATACAATGAAAAATGGTTGTTGTGTGTGTTCCCAAACTGGCTTCAACTCAGTAATATAAGCAATTATCTTTCATCTCATCATCAGCCCTTTTACGTCCTCACCGTAGGGGCTCAGGCCTTTCCTTATGGATGGTTAAGGAGTATGGGCCATGACCCTCCACGCTGGCTCAATGCGGATTGGAGAATTTTTTTTTATTATCTTAGGCTTAATATAATGTGGGAGTAAGATGTATGTCTTCATTCCACCATAACGGATTTTTAACACCATAATACTTCCTCAATGGAAGCTTGCTTCATGTAAAATTGTATCAAGGGTAAGTTGTGGGAACATTTGCGCAAGTTTTCTATATTTACATAACATATGTAAATCCTATTAATATTATAAATTTGACAGTTTCTTTGTTTGGATATTTAGATGTTTGGATATTTGTCGGTCAATCACGCGGAAACTACAGAACGGATTTTAATGAAATTTGGTATACGATAGGGTATTAGCCGACTTATATAATAGGACACTTTTTATGTATATGGTAGATTTCTATTTCATTAAGCTTAATCAAGTAATATATTTATAACACTGAACTTAATTTAGTAATATAAGTATATCACTAAACTTGGACCGCTTTATAACTATTTTCCTAGTGAGATAGTAATGAATCGTTTCCATATAACTATGTTACGGTATATAATTATATCCCTATGGATATAACTACATTACGGCTATATCTATATATATAGTAGAACCTTAACCATATCACTTATTTTTATGTTTGAAGATAAAAAACAAAGAGGCAATGTAACGTAGTCATATCCCAATATTATACAACAATCATTATATTATCTTGTACGCTGACTATATATGACACCAGAACTATCTTCAAATATGATCCACTTAATATATATTATCTTATCTTGATGTTCAAGAATAACATTCGCTTCCAATTAGTTTATCTGAAAAACGAATTACCATTGTCAGTAGTGTTATGATTTGTTAAGTAGTGTTGCGGTACAAAATGTAATTATTCTCGAAACTTATGCATTTATTAAAAACATAACATAATAATAAATATTTCAATTCGTCTTTATTTTTATATTATTTATTTTATAATTTGCTCGTATCCCTATACCTATACGAGCAAATCTTAGGAAGATTTTAAAACTTATTGATAATAAATTAAATAAGATATGTGATAGCTATACCATTTCATTTTTTACTATATTAAACTATGGAAGAGCAGTATATTGAAAAAAAAAGTTGGTATCAGAAATCGGTTACTTTACTTTAGATGTTAAATTTTTAATATCATAATAGAAATAAGTAAAAAACTGTTCCACCGTTTAAGGAAATTCAATAAAAAAGATTAAAGGAATTAAGGGTTGATTTAAGCCCATCGGTTTTGATATCAGACATGTACAGGTATTTACTTTATTTATAATTAGTAGGCCAAAATATAAAATCTAGGCGTACGAAGCTAGCAGAAAGTTAGAGAGGTATAATGTTTATATACTATTTTACAATCACCTACTTACTTCTTTTACAGGACTTATATCTACAAGCCGGCGATACCAAATAGTGTCCAGCGCGAAGATCTCGTTTATCGTGGCAATTCCACAACAAGGATCAGTGCTATCACTGCAACAGAAGTTGGCTATACTCAGTATGCTACAGCGTGGGTGATCAGTGGTAGTATTGGTGCTAATAATGTGACCATCAGGTTCCAATCAGCCTTAGGTTGGGGCTACTACTTCCTCGTCGATATTTGGGGTCGATAATTTATATTGAATTACTTAAATATGTATGTAAATAAATATTCTTATGGAGCAGAAATGCGGGTGATTTAAAAATAAATGCAAAGAAATCCTAACGAGCGATTTAATTTTAACAATCAAAAGGATATAGTTAAATAGTAAGTTGTATGTTAATAAACGAGCCAGCAACACACTGCACTAAACACGTCCGTCCCGCCCGAGCGCTCGAAACAAAAGTGACGAGGCGCGCCCGCACTGCGTCGCGACTGGCGCGCCCTCACCCCTTCCACCGTAGATCATACGACTGACGACGACGCTGACGTCACTAGGACGTATGAGGCTACATTTCTAAGAATATATTATTCGTTTTATATATATTTTATTTACGTTGTATTGAATTATCTTCCAAAAACGAAATATAAAGAAATAAAAACAAAGGAATGAATGAAATAAAGAAATTGCATATCAATTTTCAACGAACCACAATGTAAAAACTATAGACCTAAGATTTCCTTTCAACACCTTAGTTAACCAACCACAGCTTATTTTGTCAGAAATTAATCCACGACCAGCAAGTTGTTAGAATAGTGTTTTTTTTTTTCTTTACTATTGATTTTACAAAGGTGTTTGATAAGGTCATCATAACTTGTTTCTGTCATAACAAAAGTTTTATAAGACGTTTATTTCAAATCTTCTGTTACAGTCACAGAATAATTTTGTTAAAGATACATACCCAGTAAGTTATTAAAATATGATTTTATATTTACAACTGATTTCGTCAAGGCGTTTGATAAGGTCAATCATAGTTTGTTTTTCTTTTTTGTAAGGTGAAGTAAACTTTCGAGATGGTTATAATCCTATTATAATCTACACTAACAGTCGTCAGGAATCCTGTTCTGCCCATCTCACAAGTTTACCCACGTAACATCAAATAAATCTAATACTTTAAGGTCATTCACCAACAACAGTCTATTCCTGTATGTTGTGTTAATTAAATCTATAAATTATTACCAAAATCCCAATAATCTATGGCAAAACAAAATATAATAACCGGGTAAAAATTAAAATGTTTACTACAGTCCTTCACAAGTCCGAAAATAGAACAAACTAAAAAGTTAATAAAATATATACCCCGAAAGTAAGAAACTACCAGTATAATAATCAACTACTTTTCCGACCAATATTATACCTAAGTCAATTCGATAATAATAGACAGTTCTCATCAAGCACAACATAGTCATTCCAAAAATATCAAGAATTATTTTCTAATTAGCATTAGCTAGCAGCTAGTTTATCTAACAATGTTGCCAGATATAAATTAAAACGAAGAGCTAGAATGATGAAAGTAAGTGGTAATCCCACAAAATAGGCACTATAAAAAATGCTAGACTTCACGCTACAGACTACAACTACAGCTTTTTTCTTGAATTATTAAACACACACACATAAATAATTCTTATCTCTAACAAAAATATGGTGCAACAACTTCTTTGTCATTAAGAAATTCTGTCACTTACATTCTACCGAGCAAATCGGCCACAACAAACGTTTTGGCGAGTCTCAGTTATATTAAAGATTTAGGTACTGACATGGTATCTGGACATTATATTACTGAACACCTATACCCTGTATCTTGAGATCTTACCCGTTATTCTAATTTCAACAACAACCCCTATTCTTTATTAACTACTAGATTTCGCCAACGGCTTCATCCGCGTGGGTACTAGGGATATTTTTAATGGGATAAAACGTATCCTATTATCTAAGTCAGCTAATACACTATCTGTATACCAAATCTCATCAAATTCCGTTTAGTAATTTCGGCGTGATTGACGGACAAACAGCCAAACATTTATATATCTTATATACCAGTATCAGTTTAGTCTAGGTCAGAAAAGGACTGTAGGATTCTAACCATCTTAGAAGACCTCACCATTATAGACAGTTTTGAAGAAAACAAGATATGGTTGACCTTATCCATTAACGAACGGTTTAATGAAATCAATGGTAAAGAAAAATATTTCATATTCTAGCAACTTATTGGTAGTGAACGTTTATGGAGATTCATGTTTTTAATTTTTTTATGTAATAATAATACTCATAATCTAAAGGACATCGTATACAACTTTAATGTTTTTTTTACGAACTGACATTCATAAAGAGAATATTGGATTATAAAATTTCAAATTACAAAATGTGAATAATAAAAGGAAATGATGTTGAAGATCAGAGACAAAAAGTTTGCATGCACATGCACACCGTTAAAAACGTTTTAAAAAATCCGTTCTTAGAACACCTCTACGTAATAAGATGAATGTATCCTCCAAATTTGAAGTCTCTACGGTCAGCTTCAGATAGCATGCTAACTTGGGGCAAGTTTGATTTTTCTATGATTCTAAATCGCTGCGTCAAATATACGAAGCAAGTTTGTGGCTATGTCGCTGCAATATTGTTATGTTAAATATGAAGTTTCAAGTTTGTTACAATATTGTTTGAATATTGTTATGACAAAGATACTTATTTGTAACACACCCATCATCTTCATAGGTGCCCGAATAGTTCTAAGTCTGCAAACTAGATGACGCTGTTCATTTAATGCATCACGGTATCAGTTTTTATTGTTAGATTGTATAAGTATTATGCCGTTTACGGTGATCTTCACAGAACACGGAAAAGAGGTTAGAAAGGCGATCATGCATCCTTTGTACGAAAACCGATGTCACCAGTGTTGCCCCACTTTTAGTCCGCCGTACATCAGACAAATATCAGACCAATTATACAAAAGATATGCACACACTTGCATTTTAAACATGCCAATCAGAACGCTCCAATATAACTATAACCAATCACGCTCAACCATAACATACGTCTATAGTGCGCAATAAACGTGTAAAAGCCATTTTAGATTGACATAAAGTTATTTACTATCGATATTGAAAAACAACAAGTCGATTAATTGAAAGGATACTAGAGTAATGATTTCTTTATATTATTTGGGATATACATTGAATTGTATTGATTAAATGTGACATTATCTTTTTCTTTAGATATTAATTCTTAATTAGTTAGATGATTCAATAAGAAATATTTAAATTACTAATGAACTAATATTGAATCGGTACTAGTCGAGCTTAAATATTTATTTGCATATAAATATGTTTGTTTATTAATAATAATAATAGGTATTTTTTTACGTTACGTTACTCGATTTCGTATCAAGTATACAGATAAGATCGGCAACATCGCTTAAATGAAACTAGTAATATTGACAAACAATATAATCTAAATAAATATATACAAAATAAAAAAATACTATCAGTACAATAAATGCTATTGGAACTTATCCTGAACGGATTCCGATGATTTAAAAAGTATTGGCGTTAATGATTCAAAATATTAAAAAAAAACTAATTTTCTGTTACAATATTAAGAATATAAAAACTTATTACCACACTCATTATTAAATTATATATAATTATATATACAAACGAATACCAAACGAAGTCAATATAGTTAATCTCTGATTAAATTTATTTTTATTACCACTATTTTTATCGTCCATATTTTTATTTAGTTTTTACTAACTAACGCACCAAGAATCGACTAAATGTTTCCAGGCACTTCACTACCCATCTACCGTAATCTATTATGTTGCTACTTAAAACGGTGATTTCGCGATTTTCTTTACATTACGTGCTTAGTACGACGCAATGTAATAAATATGCGCACTTCTCCAGCAATGTATATTTTCTTGGAAATATTTTTTGTGATTCACACTTTTGATAACATTTCACGAATTTCGACTAAAAATACTAAATTTGAGAAGTGTTCTACTTACTAATGGAAAGAAATCCTTCCTTTGGATCTACTTGAGGATGGGCTTCTTGTTTTGCAATTAATAACTGCGCAAGTCGGCATTTTTAACACTTTTAGTGGCGTATTTCACAGTACTTACAGCGCGCGCGTTCGTGAATGACTAAACATCGCGATCGCGTGGTGAAGTCACGATCCTGTACATTTGTCCAGGATCGTGGCTACACTGCCACGCCCACAAGACCCTTCTAACGTCTTTCTGTGTTCTGTGGTGATCTTACTCATCCGATCAGCCGTGGACTATGAACCGCCCCCCTCCACCTCTCCTCTCGCCCGCAGGCCTAAATCGGTTCTTACCGATCCTCCCTCCAAGCTTTCCGCTGACCTGGACCTCCTCCTGGAGGCCCAACAGGCAGATTCCGCTCCTAGCCCTTTCGGCCCTTCAGGCCAACCCCAATCCGTTTTAGTTAATAGCTCCACGGCAGGGACTTAACTTTACATAAATTCATTCAAAATTATATTTAATATTGATTTAATTAAAATTTAAATTCAATTCATTAAAATCCGATGAGCCGTTACCCCGGGGATAACGGCTAACAACTGGACGTCATTATTCATGTAAGTGAATAGGGACGTCTGCGCTGAAGAACGCTCCCATGAAGGTTCGTTGCCCCATCAGGGCACGTAACCAACTGTCCAAGGCGGTGTTGTCAGTAGGAAGAAGTCTGACATAACCTCACAACCGGCTTTGAGGTATCCAATGAAGGATTGACTGCCTCCTTCCGCCGCTGGGAAGGTGGTTCCGAACCGCTAAGGTTGAGACCCGAAAAAAAAATGATCCTAATATGGGATTCGAAACCAACCGTTCCAGTTATTCAATTCGGCTCCCAGGCCAGGCTCTGTCTGTGCTGTGATCTGAGTTTAATAAGTCGCAATCGCTTTTTGACCAAAAGTTTTGAATAATCAAAAGATTAATAAAAACTTAGTAATATTTGCCTGGAAACCTATAATCCAGGTACTCCAGTACCCGAGTACCTGCCAGGTATTCGAGTCAGTACCTAGGAAAATTATCATTACTACTACGGTAGTAGTAATAATAATTTTCCCAGGTACCCTTGCACTACCTTTGATACGTCAAAGGTAGTGCAAGTCACACTGAAACTAGAAATTTGATTTAAACTTGCTGCAGTTGTCATGGCAAACTTGAAGCA